GTAATAACTCCAGCTGAATAATGTTGAAATACAACCGTGGGTGAAAACCGATTCATGGTTTCACGAAATCCAAGTGAACTGGATTTGTCCAAACTAGCATTTCTTTTTCCCTGGCCTTTGTTATTAGCTGGCTCAAGCCTTCAGCCTGTGCTGGCGACAAGCTGAGACTGGCCTAATCACAGGCCACAGCCCCGCTGAGGCAGGAGGGCACCTTTCATCGTCTGGTCCAACCCCTGCTCAGAGCAGGGTCAGCGAGATCAGGGCTGTGTCCCATCGGGTTTTGAGTATCTGGAAGGACGGAGACTCCACAACCTCTCTGAGCAACCTGCTCCTGTGTGTGACCACCCTCAGAGTAAAAAATTGTTTTCTTTTGTTTGAATGGAATTTCATGTGTTTCAGGTTGTGCCCATTGCCTCTCGTCCAGTCACTGGGCGCCTCTGAGAAGGGTCTGGCTCCATTGCCTTTACTCCCCGCAACAGGTGTCTGTCTCTGAGCTCTCTCCAAGCTGCATTCCCAGATCTCTCAGCTTCTCCCATATGACAGATGGTCCAACCCTTTAACCATCTTTGTGGCCTATCAGTCACAGGACTCACTCTGGTACATCCGTGTCTCTCATACTGGTGATCCCAGAGCTGGACCCAGCACTCCAGATGTGTCTCACCAGCGCTGACTAGAAGGGGAAGGATCACCTCTCTTGATCTGCTGGTGATCCTCTGCTTGATGCAGCCCAGGGTGCTGTTGGCCTTCTTTCTTGCAGTTGCTGCCTGTTCAACTTGGTGTCCACCACCTTTTCTGCACAACGGATTGGCCCCCAGCATGTCCTGGTGCTTGGGGCTGTTCCTCCCAGTGGCAGGACTTGGCACTTCTCCTTGTTGAACTTCGTGAGGTTCCCATCAGCCCATTTCTCCAGCCTGCTCTGGACAGCATAGGAAAGTCATTCCAGCAATGTTCTTTTGTCATTTCCGAACTTTAAAGGGCTGCTACTCATTTGCCTGCCCTTATCTCCAGGACTGATGAGTACTACTTCCATAAATGCCAGTCAATTATAATAATTAAAAAGAACCCACATACTGGGCTTGTGTTACACCTTTTAATGGGACAGCATTCCAATAGCTACAGATCTAGGATTCTTGAGAGTGAAGGATTATGGCTTGCATGCGGACACAGATATAAAGAAGCTTGTTTGCAGAGAGTTCCAATAATAAACTAGACATTGTATTAGCTTTCATTAAACAAAAATTCTTTATACATATAAATTTCTGATACTAATTGCATTAATAAAGTTCTCATCTCATAATATTCACAGAATCACAGAATGGTAGGGATTGGAAGGGACGTCTGAAGATCATCTGGTCCAACCCCCCTGCCAAGGCAGGATCACCGAGGGCAGGTTGCACAGGAACGCGTTCAGTCGGGTTTGAAGGTCTCCAGAGAAGGAGACTCCACAATCTCTCCAGGCAGCCTGTTCCAGGGCTCCGTCACCCTCCCAGTAAAGAAGTTTTTCCTCATGTTGAGGTGGAACTTCCTGTGCTGCAGTTTGTGCCCATTGCCCCTCGTCCTGTCACTGGGCACTACTGCAAAGAGACTGGCTCCATCCTCCTGACAGCCACCCTTCAGAGATTTATAGACATTGATAAGGTCCTCTCAATTCCAGCTTGATGAATCACGAAATCCGAGTATGCTCTTGTGCAGCGCAGCGAAGGGCAAGGCTGCAATCTTGTCGTGTGAAAGGAAGACGCTAGAGCCTCACGAGCAGAGAGGGAAGTCTGCTATTGAGTAATAACATGTTGCCCAAGGTTTCTGTGCTGATATGATATTTAAATGCCTTTTTTTTTGGGTGTGTGCGTGTTTGTTTCTGACTCACACAACTGATTTTGATATAGGGGACTAAAGGCTTTGTAAAGGATGAAGGCTGTTTCCTTGGTATAATTACACAGCACTAGGTGTGCGGAACTCAACTGGGAGCTACAGAGAGACGGAACAGGCAAGCATCTGGCCGGCACGCCCCACACGCGTACCCTCCATATGTACCCATGCCCCCAGGCTCCTTTCTTAAAATAACTGCAGCACCTCATGCTCCTGGCAAGTGTCCCAGCAGTGTTTGCTGTCCCGGGAACATTTCCTCCCCCAGCTCCTAAGGGCTTCTTCACCCGTAGCAATGACCAGACTCCGGTGTTAAGGGCAAAACCTCTGTGGTCCCTGGGCCCCACCGCGCAATGCTGTTTGAGACCTTCGGATTGAGCCTGCGTGACAACTGTGCTCCTTTTCATCCTTTTCCTCGTGTTTTCCTGCTTCTTCCTGAAATCAGAGGGACTTGAGGAAATGCAGTTTCTAACCTGGTCCTGGACACTGAATACCTGGCTGGAAAGCAGCAGGCAGCACTGCATGGATTTGATGCGTGTGCCTGAGCAAGTTAGAGCTCCCCGTATCCCTGCTCACTGCCGGGGTCCTGGCCCAGGTGGCCATAGAGGTCCCTTCCAACCCAAACTATTCTCCCATTTATGCGTTAAAGCACGTGCCTGTGACACTTAAAGAGGGTGCTCGGTTGTTTAATATGCGTTAGCGTACGCTAATGCCTCATGTAAAAAACACCAATGAAAATGCGTCTGAAAGACGCTGTGCAAGAATAAACTGACAGCTTACATCAATGTATTTATGGTATTTTAATAACAAATTAATGCATTTCTCAAGTAAGAATTTATAAATCTGGTAATTTTTAGAAAAAAATAAATCACAGCTTCACAAAAAGCTAACTTTCAACAATTTGTCCCCTCCCGCCCAACATGCAGTTTACAATATATTTCAACTATGTTGGTAGAAAGTTAACAGTAGTGTGAAATTCTTAAAAAATACTTGCAACAGCAATTGAAAATAAAATAATGACTTTTACTCAGTGAAAAAGTAATAGGAATTGTGTTTCCCAGTAAAAGGTAAGTCAGAAAAGCAGCAAAAAATTCCACCCCCCCACTATGTGTTATGCGCTACCTTTCCCCCCCGCCACAGACGTCGCTGGCAAAGGCAACACATCAACAGTAACCGCTCCTGCGCTCGGAGCTCCAGTGTTTTTGGCAAGAAAGCAGACTCAGCAGTCCAGTGTTTGAGGTGTGTGTGCTGCCCTGGGCCGCTGAGCTCCAAAGGCTGCTCGTACTCCTGCACCTTGGGCTGAGGTGGGATCTGCGACAGCGCTGAGTAAAGGCAAGGAGCACAAAGATTTTCCTGTGGGTTCCTGTTCACTTTTCACACTGTCTTCACCTCTCCAATACAAACTGGAAAACCCAGACATTTTGGTTGTCACACCTCACATTGGAGTATTTATAGGAGATGTGGGCCTTGAATGATGTTGTTACATTTTCACCCGTGCACAAAAATACCCTCTGTTGAGTTTACACATGCAACCACAGAATGAAAAATGTTCCTTCTCTAACTTATTAATTAAGTCACATTTCCAAAGGTCATTGCACTTGACAATAAAAAGGCAAATAATATGCATTTGGATTAAATACACTGTACAGACCTGAACTTCTGTGCAATCATTGGTTCAGACACACACCTTTTTAACATCATTTTAAAAACTAAGCATCTAATCATAGTTTAACAAAGAAAAACAAACTTTGTTAAAGACTATTTTTTTAAAGACAAAAATCTTTAAGAATAAACACACACAAAAAAAAGCTCCCTTTAACTCCTAGTGCATTTAAACACATCTTTGAAATTCTCCATGTTGTTCCCACAGTCAACCTCGCTAGCATTCTATACTGATCTAATGACACTATACAAGAACACATTTTCTCTGACCTAACAAATAAGGCTGGCATTTGTCATGCTGTTGGTACAAACAGGAAAGCCGAACAGAAGATTATTTGCCTCACTCCTTTACCTGTGGAGGGCAAAATGTTTCAAAGTGGACGCAACTCAGCAGTCACACATGTTGCCTGTGAATTCTAGTGGCCCACTTTGGGTGCCAAGTGCTTACTCTTCCAAGCCAGGCTTTTGGGTTGTCCCAGCATATTTTGCGACAACTTGCTATTACAACTATGGACATGGAAACTGAAAGGGAGATGTTGTCCCTGAGATATACTAAATGAGATCAAGAACTAAAACACTGATATTTAATTTGGAGTGGACCCTTTTTAAGGAAAACTAAATTAGCTTCAACTTTCAAAAGTTTAATAAATAATCACTAAAATATCTTTAAGCAGGATGACAGAATATATGCAGTGTTGGTCAAGAAAAGTGGATTGTACAGAATAGTTTTAAGAGTTATCAGTTGCTGAGGACCAAGTTGTCCTGTCAATAGCATGCGGTATCAAATTTGTCTTTAGAAACTAACACAACAGCACAGGAACATGAAAAATGGCCTTAACCAAAACATCTATTTACTCCTATCTCTTTAAAGGTACAGCTACAGAACGTAGTGTCTTAAATACTTACAGTAGGCAAACTGACTGCATATGCCAGAAGCCAAACCAAACTTTTTAACTTTGTGGTTGCTTGTTTCGATAGTACTCTGTGGACTGTATCAGCAACCACTTCATTGCCAAACCAGTGGCGATGTGTCCTATTGATAATGCATTTTGAGCTAGTGTTTAAAAGGTTTGTACCCTTGAAGGTGTTTCAGACCAGTGGCCACTACAATAAAACATCTTTGGCAACCATAGACATACGATAGGTAATTCACAGCAACTGGAAGAACTGTAAGATGTTTACAAAGTTCTATAGTGCATCATTCACTTTCTGCAGTGTGTTGTATAAAGTACCAAGGCCCTGAAAAGGATAGCTAAACATCTGACAATACCTCAGAAGTTGCAGGGGTTTTTTATACCAACTTTCTCAAACAAAATTAGGGCTTGTGCAATTTTAGGGGATGATGTGAGATAGTCCACGCAAAGGCCCCCAGTGCAGCTGGAGTTGATGGGGAAGGGAGAAGAATAATGAAGGGTTGAAGACTTAAGTTTCAGCGTACCACTGGGAGGTTACTCAGGGGCTGGCAACAGATGGATTCATGAAAGGATTTAGACACACAAGTAGGATAATCACACTGGTGGTGGAATCTCTTCACAAAATAAACCAAAACGAAACAAAAAATCAGCTGCATCCAGAGAGTCCATTAAGTAGTCTCATTTACCAGTACCTTAAATAAGAAAGAATGTGCATTAGTAACATAGAATTTACTTGAAAACATTAATAAGACTCTATAACACAGCTGAGCTATAGGAGGAATTCAGTATAACCATCTTTTTTTTTTTTCCATTAATGCAATTATAAATTAGATGATGTCTTCTGACACCAGATAAGCCAGCACTTAAGTGTGTGGGATGTGCATACAGTAGGAGAAGAGACCACACTGTTAAGATGGGTAAATTTTTAACAAGTAGAAGAATTGAAGGAAGGCACCCTAACCCTATTTTTTTCTGAATATGAGCTCAGCTTTTGTAAATTTGGGAAATCTTACTGGACCCAACTTGCAGAACTGCAGAGTGATCCCTACATGTAAATTAGTATGCAGCTTGGCAGGAACTATCACAACACAAGAAACTAAAAAGGAAAACCAGAATCTTAAATAAAAAACCCAAGTGTATTTAAGCAGGAAAAATATAGTATATATAGAATTATATATGAATATAAGAAGAATATACAATATATAGTATTACTATCAGCACTGACACCTTATTCTGAGAGAAAAAAGTCAAAGAACTGTATACCCCAGATGTCATGTAAGATCCCATATACAGCCCATCCTCACTTATACCTCATTTAAGAGGTGCCAATTTAAGCATGTAAAGGCATTTCTTTAAACGTGAGTCTAATAAAATATAGTAACATTTTCAGTTAACTCCCACCCCCCAAAAAAATACAGCTACAGAATATGTTGAAATCCCTCAGATGTCCACTTCTAAAACTAGTGTGAAAAACTTAACCTCCGGTTGCTACATACAACTTGCTTTAACAGTGAAATTAAAGGGGCACTTTCTCCCCTGGGAGAGAAGATGAACGAAGATCATAAAATAAGGTACAAGTAATTGACCTGATTTTGATGAAATTGTGAAATGATATAATGAAATACAGTATTGTTCTTCATATTTAGTCATTGGGTGCTGCATGAAAAGGCAGTTAGTTTAGCAGTTCTGTAAATGTGTTTTTGCCACGTTGGTGTTCTTTATTCTGCCACAGCAGATTTTTCCTTCACCTTTCCGTAGTTGTAAAATCATGGCCCTGCCCTACAGAGACATGTTCAACAACAGCACTGTTGCCATGCAAGACTTACTGCTGTTTCAGCACATGAAGGATGAATTCAATCCTCAGTAGATTCAATCCTCAAACCTACTATACTGATGACTGCGTTGGAGTTCCAGTGTTTCATTAAAAGATAAAATATAACAAATGAATTAATGGAGTTCCTGTACTGAAGTTAGAAGGAAAGTCTGGTGAGAGAATTCCAGCTCTTAAAAGCAAAAAGATATTTACCACAGTAAATGCCTAATGGGAAGCATCCCTGCTCCAATCAGCGACGCAAATTCTATACATCATGTTCTACCCTAACACACAGCTGAGCAAAACTACAACCTGTAGATACCATCACTGATGCTATTCATTTTCAGACATCACAATTTTAAAAACAAGTAAGAGCTGGACATTTCTTGCAACTTCTCCTGTCCCCAAGCTTGCCATGTAAATAATATACCAATATATTGGTATATATAGTAAATAGGCTGGTATATAGTAACTATATCTATACAGTAACAGTAACTGTATCAATAGTTACTGTTATTTGAGCACAAGGGCAAAAATGGCTTCTGAAGGCCAGAATGAGTTGCGTTGAGAATGTTTTCCACTTGTGGGTCAGAAAGGCACTGACAAGCTTAGGGAAGGGAGAAAAAAAAATCTTTTTTTATGAGTTCCAGCAGTGCAAGTTGAGATATTTATATGCAGGTTACTGATTAGTTGTTTTTAAAAAGCAGTAAACCCAAAATTTAAGTTGCTTATCTGCCCGCTTAACTTTGAGATTCATATTATTTTAGGTAACCCCATGTGGTGAAGAATCTGACCTGAAATTAATATTCAAGTTGCTTAGTTCAGCTTGTTAAAAATTTACCCACTTATCCACAGTTGGTTTTATTTTATTCTTCATAATCAATATTGTTCTCATTCACAGATACATTCCAGAGTTAGTAAATCAATGTCAGTCCATTTGTTCAGTTTGATTTTTGCCTAGCATTTGTTTAGTTTGATTTTAGTTCTCCTACAAGCACAGTCTCTTCCATGCAAAGAAAATTACAATTGAATAGTTAATTCAGGCTGAATGAGTAGAAACAAAATACAAACACATCATCACAGGAGCATGCTAGAGTCCTCAACTGTCTGTTTAATTATCACCCCACCCCTCATTCCACTAAAACCAAAACAAAGAAAGAAAACTAAACAATCACCCCCCAAAAGCTTACTAAGCAGCAGCAGTAGCTATACTGTAAAATACTTTCTTTGGAATGAAATTAGGAAACACAACAACAAAGAACAAATGACATTACGATATAAACTTCTTTTTCTTACCATAACAGTATCTTAATGAAATGTCTTACTTCTGGCATAAGTAACTAACACCATCATCCATATTAAGAACTTTCTTTTAAAATAAAACATATATTAATAGGCTGAAGATGCATCTTCATTGCATATGCACACAGTTCCTCTCCCCAGCTTTGCAGATAGGCTTTTTAGACTCTCTTCTCTTTATACAAAATGAATTCACTTATCCATCAAGAGCAACGTATGACAAGAATATTCTCTAGATTTAGTAGATGAAGATTTCTAACCACACAATAGTTCCAAGGGGACCAGAAAAATGAAAGGGGTGCATGAAGCCTTTCAGGAACAGAAGAAAAGTCTTCACTTTACTTAAATGAGATCTTCAAAATAATTTGAAATGTTATGAGAAGAAATACGGGATAAAGGATGGGACCTTATTCTAACTGCAATGCACACTGTAATGCAAGCAATGCAAAACTCTGCTAAGCTGTTCCAACCTATATCCTTTTTATAAACTGCATACAGTCTGCACAGCTAGGCAACGGGAGGGGACAACTCAAGGTTTCATGTGCATCTAAAAATTATGAATTTCATGGCACATGAGGATGAATTCGAGATGGCATTCATTTGGTTGCCTTAGGTACCATATGTCTAATTCACACTCTCAAACACGCGTGTGCATGAACAACAAAAAGCATCAGTCATTTTTGCGAAAAATAAACAGATGGAATACAAAAAAACCCAACACTTAAACTAGCGTAGATAGCTTTTAAAGTGATCTAGTTTGAGTAATAACTAACCTGAGACGTACTTTGCTCCGATTAACATTATCATGCTACTCATAATAAAAAAACCCAAAGGCAGACTACAGAAGATACTAGTGTCACCTGATGTCATCCAGGGGAGGGTGTTTCCAGTCAAGCAAATCAAAAGAGAAATATATACATAAATTGCAATATATGGGTTAAAAATCATATGAACAGCAAAAAAGTAACAAATGTAGTGACAGTTGCAGAAAAACTAAAAAAGATTATGCATAATCCCCACAATAATTCAAAACAGGCTTTCAGTGTTAAGAGTTCAAATGCAAATTCCACTGTTCGCACTATCTAGGTTGAGCCCATTTCTAGTATTCTTCAATCTTAAGTACTTCTAGCAGGCAGAAGACAAAATTTCAAAGCAAGAACTAAGGAAAACAACATTTCGCCCCCAGTGTTAAATCAGGTAATCACTGAGGGTAAGTTTTGATAAACTTTTCACATAAAGAACCAGATCTAGTTTTATTTTCAGCAAGGCAGAATTTTCTATCCTTCAAAAGAAAATAAAGATATATAAGTAAAATATGCATCAAGCACTTGGGATTTTAGGATACATAACGGAGATTTTAGATGTAAGGCTACTAAATCACAATGGACAATACTGAAGTGAATATTGTTACTCATCCTAAGTTACCTATTTCCCTTCCAAACAGCCTTGACAGAATTGTTTGAATGACCATGGCGTTAAATAAAATACTTAAACCAACATATAGGATCATAAAAGGAAAATTTTAGCTTTAGCTTTCAAGAATAAAGTAAAAGACTTCATGCAGCTTGAGGGCTGCAACTGTGGATTCTGGAGGGAGTTTACATTTTGAGGATTCTTTACTTAATACTTTTCATTCTAGTAGTTTTTCCAACAAAAGGCAAATGAAATGAAGATAAGGCCCGCAAATGATGTGTTGTAAGATGATCCTGGACTAAAAACCTATCCTGAAACAGTGCTGAAATATAGATTCAAATTAGAGATCCTAGAAGACTGCACATTTTATTTAATTCAAACCTGACAGATGAAAAATCCCTCTACTTCAACAGAAAGTTCTTATTCAGTCCCTCAAAAGTGTTTGTATATTCTCTGTGTGCGAACAATAGGTCTATGCAATTCTTCACTTTGTAACTTCTTGCTCTTAGCCCTTGTGGGTCAAACAGATTTTGATGTGGCTATCAATCCCTCCTTCCTACACAGCAAATAATAAATGCAAGATATTATAGCAAGAAAAATCACAGGATGAAACTTTTTGCCTTTGCAACATGAGGTTATAGTATAAGAAAGCTTATGAATTCCCTGCACTGTCTTCGACTTGTGTCGCATCTCTTCTTCTTGGTAAGATTTCTTCCTTTTCTAAATTAATGCCATTCTGCAAAACCTGCAGTTAGTCTGCAAAACCTGCAGTTAGTCTTGATTTCATGTCGTCTGTTTTTAGAGCCCTACAGGATATTACTTGTGCCTTCCCTTCAAGAGGAACACCTATCTGTCTATTTTACTACTTTGTTTCCACAGCACTTTTAAGTAATAATTTTTAAATTGTTGGAACAGTCCAGAGATGGTGGTAACAGAAAAGGTCACCAAACTCCAGATTGGCTAGCTCACCTAGGCTAACTAGCTAGTTAATAATACTTGAACTGCATTAATTTCTAATTTACCATTTGGAGGAGCTTCAGATGTCTCCCAGCCCATAGATTTCATCACAGCTTTCTTCCATCTGGCATAACGAAATTCGCTTTCTGAAATTGAGAAATCAGAAAACTGAAAAGCCTGTCAATGCATAGGAATACAACAACAAGTATTAAGAAGCAAACACTACAATATTAGCTTTCCACTCTTTTGCAAAGTATAGATTGTATGCACGGAACAAGTATTACAAAATGCTGTTTTGAATACAAAAACAACCCAAAACAAAACAACTCAAAACTCCACAGTTAGGCGCAGTAAGGAGAAATAAACCATAAAAACAATTTTCTGCATGTTCACCAATGAGAAGATTTCTAGGTAGGACAACATGAAGCAATCGTTATTCATGTAGAAGCCCTTCGGTGTTGGAAATACTGCCCTGAAGTAGGGATTACAGCAGTAATTATAATCAAAATGGTAAGACAACATTCTGTAACGAAAATAAAGAAATAATTGAAAAAACAAAAATGCATCTGTCTTGTGCATGGATTAATTACATCAAGTACATGCTTTCCATCTCTAGAAGCATTTAAGAACTGATGAAAAAGTTAGTTAGCTAAGAACAATGATTAATGTAGGCTTTCTAAAGCCAAAAGAAAAGTCTCACAAAAATAGTCAGTCTGTCCTTTCTACATCTGTGAAAACTCACAAATGCACAGGAGCTTTAGGAGACATCTTTCTCAGTAAAAGCCTTTCAAGATTTCTTTGATTTTCATCGCTATAAATCAAAAGCTACTAACTGCAATGCCCAATGCCAAGCTTCTTTCAAAAAGAAGATAAAAACACCTGTGGAATTATGCTGTTTTAACCATTTTCTAATCTTACTAGTCAATAAATGGACAAAACAGCAAGTGAAATGCATTTTAAACTAAACACTACAAAGTTGATTTTCAACATTTGTAAGGATATTTTTATACAGCTGGTTTTAGATCACTGTGTTAGACTGCAACAAAGAAAAAACCCAATCTGTTGGACATCAAATACTAGGTCTGCAAATTCTTAGATAATATGAAAGGGTTTTACCCTCTGGGTTGATCTGTGGTTCAAATCGTTCACATGTCACTGCTGTCAAATCTCCAGGATTCAGACTCCAAATTCCAACTCCTTCTGCAGCTCCTGCTGCCATAGCAGCTCCTAGAGCTGTTGTTTCAGGCATTGATGGCTTTACTGAAGTAAATCACAGAGAAGACCATGATGATTTTTAATGAAAGTCACCTTGACAACATCAGAACTAAAGATTTACTTACATATCTAGAATGATACTTATTTTTGTATAACTGCTATATGCTTCCTTTAAATTTTCCAACTGCAAACCTCATTTTATTGCCATTCACATGGTTATGAGGCTAAGCTCACAAGTCTTTGAAATATCTCAGATCACTACTTCCTTCAAGGCTGAATCATGCAATGGCCCATTTTCATACTACATGCAGGGCTGCTGACCTCAACCATCAGTTTCCTTAGACTACTCCTGTTAATAATATACTATTTTTTTGTCTTCTCCCTCCCTCCTCAAAGCAGTGATCACTGGCTAAGTTATCAGTCTTGTTCCATGCTCTAGATATTGTATTATTAAAAGCATTTATATTTAGAAGAGGGATCTTAAAAGAGGCTACACACCTGCACTTACGAGCTTGTTTACCTTCCACAGATGATATAGAAGATGATCCCACCCCCAAGATGTCAATGGTAAATCTGTTCCATTAACTCTAGAATTGTCTGCTTCTCTGCTTCAGGCAGAGGATCCTTTAAAATCTGATTTTATTGATCATAGCCTTTCATCTGCTAACTATGCATACGAATGGGTAGTATAAGACTTGTGTATTACATATTATTGAAGGCAAGCTATCGTATCTCTAGAGTTAAAAACTTTCTGCTGAAGTGTCTCACGTTTATATGTAAGAGATATCACAACGTTTTTCTAAATGGTTTTCTAGAAGCTGCATATTAAGCAAGATTATTACATTTATGCAGCAAATTATCAGTCTTCAGTAGAGATGAAGATGCATAATGTCCTGATGTTACTCACTGACCCACTGCATCCTTAAGAATGCTAATGTATATTTTACAATACTCAGCAACTCAGTATCTGCCACGGGTGTTAAAATATGTCTTCAGAACAATGCACCCTTTTCACTGACACTAAAATGCCCAGGTTTTACCTGAAGTCTTTAAAGAGCTTTAGTGTACCCTTCAAAAGCTAAAAAGCCTTTTTATTATTCTTGGGAGCTTTTGTGAAAGAAGTGTTACATGATCATTTCTAAAATGGCTGCTTTGCTGTTGGATCAGAATAAAGGTATTATAAGCTTTGATTTGCCTCAGAGAGGAACGCCACCATTTGGGTTTGTATTTCATATTATGCATGCCAAGAAAACTAGTTGCAAGATCCCCACTGTTGTTGTAACCTCTGTTCCCTTCTTCGATGCTGCTGTGGGAGGAAACAGAGTGCACGATAATGTTTTGTGGGTCTTCTTTCACATTGTAAATGAAATCAAAGCCTTGTGAAGGCAAAGGGAACAGAAAAAGGGCTACTTGCTATTTGCTGAAATGCAAGAGCAAAACAAGAGCAGTGGAAGTGCAAAGGCCTGATCTATGTCTGAGCAAAAGTCTCAGGGCCAACATGTTGCAGGACAGTGTTAATTTCACTGATTTTAAAATTGTTAGATGTTTAGAAATTCATATGACAATTTTGAAGTTCAACACCATCACAGTGCTATAATATTTCAACACATGAATTGTCAGTGATTCTTTGGGGAAGTGAACCTCAAAACTGGATGCAAGATCTAAAATTTTTTTTCTGAAATGAACCCAAACATTCTCAAGCAGTAGCAAAAGACCAGCAACAACAAACCAAGCCATCCAACTTGCCCTCATTAACCATTACAAACCGATATTGTTTTCAGCTTTAAAAAGAAAATGGGAGTTGTAATTTCATCTTACCTACTGGAATACAGAGAATATCTGATTGGAGTTGCATGAGGACTTTGTTATTGGTCATTCCTCCATCTACCTGTAACTGATTTAGTGGTATCCCACAATCCTTGTTTATGGCATCTAAAATCTTAAGTAAGAGTAATATACATTATGATTTAATTGCAGAGAAATCCATTATACCCTCTGAGTGTAAAATACTGATGAGTCGTCATTTTTTGAAAAGTGTTAAAGCAGATAATTCCCCTCCCCTATAAATCAAGAGGGCAAAACAGAGGTAGTGACAATACATTTTTGTTTAATATACAGCATATGCATTCTATTTATTACAGAAATCCTAGTATAGGAGATGTTTCTCCTTTGATGCTCTATATCTAGCCTATGTGTTGCTTATATGGTCTGAGAAGAAGAATTTTGAAGAAAAGCTGGTAACTACAACATTTATCACAGCTAACAAAGGAAGAAGTAATACTAAGTGGAGTCCTTTACCTGACTACAATTTGTCTAGATACTTTCTCTAATTTGATGCACTAAAGAACTGAAAAATTAAAAAGTTTGAGGTGGCAATCTGGAAGACACTTCAACAGGAAATGCTGAACTGTTTTGAAAGAGCAGCCTCTTGAAATATTTTCAGTTAGTTGTTGAAAATAGAGAATTTTACATTTCACAAGACAGACTGCAAAAATAAACAGTGTAATTTTTTGTAAAATTATGTTTCTTTTGGGCACAGTGGATAGCTGAAAATAAATGAAAAGTGTTAAAGTGTTTGCAAGGGATAATTAACAAAGAGTGGAGTATTTAATTCACTGATACCTATCAATATGCTTTTAGAGGGTTTCCTAAAAATGTAAGATTTGTCTCAAACCTTAGCTACTGGTGACACCATGGCATTATCCTACAAGTACCTATTAAATGCGGAATAGTGGTTTTTCTAGGGTTTTGTAAAAGCAGTCAGTTAACTGTCTCAGTTACATTTTTAAAAGTTAGTACATAACTTTTGTTGACAAAGTTAGGCATTAACTAGTGCAGAATGACTTTCTCTTTGTAATTTTTCGATTTATTTGAATAAAAAAGAGGTGTGCTTTTCTCAGCTTTAAATGACAAAGCAACATATAGACCCCAAAAAAGACCAAAACTACAACACATTCTGTGCTGTTTCTGTTCATAAAGTACCCAGTTATATGATCCTTACTGGGAAAAGTCAACACAGTTTTTAAAAAAAAACAAAAAAGTTGTAGGTTTGTAAAGTAGTAAAAACCATATAGAGAGGAGTTGTCCGGTAGATTCTACCTGTTCCCAGAAAGTCAGTCGGCAAGGTCCCTTAGCAGAAAATCTTTAAAGTAACTAAAAGAACTGCCACAGGGTAAATAATGGTTAAAAATTTGAAGGTAAGAGTAAAAGGACAGTTTTCATGGTGGCAGGATCTGTCCATGGGCCTGCACTGTTCAATAAGTTAGAAATAACCTGGAAAAGAGGATTCATAGCACAGCAGCAAAATTTGCTGGCAGTACTGAGCTAGTACTGCTCCCCACCACTTATTTCCTTCACGTATATAATTTTTCATTTGTCTGTGCTGATTTCACCTGCCTTTTTTACCATTCAGAACTTCAGCAGTGCCTCATAATCTCAGCTTTACATATACATACTGTGGGAGGCTCTGACTTTGTTTACCACTCTGCAAGAGCATGTTGGATCATCCTATGTGCTCAGTAGAGATTAAAAAAATGAAAAGAATGCTAGAAAACAGGAAGGGATGAAGGAACAAAAGAAATCATGATCATGTCGCTGCTATCTCTACTGTACGGAGGTTGGACGAAGGGCAAGGTATGCAGGTATGTAAGTTTTGTCTAATGACAGCACTGTACAGCTCTTAGAACTGACAAATTGCCTATTTTTCCATAATGCCTTCTGGAAGAAAAAACATAACAAGTGTTATCTGTCTGCAAAAGGAAGAAGGTTTTTGGATAACAAGGAACAGAAACTTGGAAGGATTGGATGGCACAATAAAACAAGCAAAAACTCCAGTGAATGTGAAATCTGAGGGTTTTTTTGAGGGATATTGAAGACTTCCTTTTTAACTGGAATTAAAACAAAAGAACTTTGCTTCTGACAAGACAGAACTAACAATGTATCTTTGAAAAATGTACATATATTTTACCTGTGTCACTAGGACTTAATCTGTTAATTTAAGCATATCCAGAGACCTGATCAGGCACTCCTGTCACTGTGATAAAAGCATATTGACTAAAGCATGAGGAAGTATTAGATCTATTTAGTTAACTTCACCCTCACTCAGTCTGAGAGCTTTATTCCCCTCCCTCCTTCCCCCAGCCACATGCCCTGTGTCTTGTTATGACATTCACTACACTCCTCTGTGACGCAGCTGAGGTCATTAATCCAGCAGAAAAATAGCCCAGCAAAAAGAGGGATAATTTTCCACTGGAAAGTTCATTGAGCTGTCACATGAGAGGGAATGGATGAGAGGAGGGACAAGGAAAGAGAGGAGCAGACAACAAACTAGACTACCAGTTCAGTTCCCGGTAACTTTACCCTGACTTCTAGTACCAGAATTAGAGATACATCCTACTTCCAAGTTCCTTCATGACTTTCTGAGGATGCAGAGGCTGTTAGCACTGCTTCAAAAGCAGACATCTGGTTGAAACTTCTGGCTCTCTTTTTCCACATAAGTACTTTTCACTCTATTCTATGTCACTGCAGAAACAGCAAGCTGCTTTCCTCCTCTCACACAGTTTTAGCTGTGTGTTATTTTAAAACTCAGTATATTTAAATAATGGCAAACTAAAAACATGCAGTTTTTAATAAAATTTAATAGAAAAACTTTAATAAAATTAAAGTTTGACCGTTACCCTTTGGGGTCTAGGGATTTCATTTTCTCCTGTATTTGTATGGAACACAGGGAGCGTAAATTGATAGTAGATGGTGATATAAAGATTCTAATGCTCAGAACATACTGATATCAACCCCTTTGATTTGGCTGGAGGACTCATTTCTTCTGTGAGAATTTAGGTTTACTGTTGCAGAATGCCTGCTAAGGCAATACAAGATGTCACAGGCAGGAAGTGAATCCAGATTTCCCTTGGTATGTTTTCTGGTGTCTTGCTTTAACTCATTTTTGTTCTTGTGTACCAGAAGCAACATAAGCCATCTCCACCACAGCAGACAATATACAATATAGTCTCCTACACTAATGCAACGTTTTAGTTATGGCACTGGCCTTGTCATTTTAATGTTTCTACGTTCTGCCTCTCAAAATATTTACAAAATATGTTCACCTTATTTTAACTGCTGATAAAAAGCAGCATTTCCACCCCAAAATAATGTACCACCAAACCATATCATTGTAGCTAAGCCCACAGGAACAATTTTTCAACATTAGCACCATGTAAAGAGAAGAATAGCATCCAAGTACTATATAAAGTATATGATTAAACTTCATTAAATCTTTTCAATCCTCTCTCTTCCTGAAGAGTTACAGTCCCTGTTAGCATATTATTTTACAATGAATTTAGGACCCTTTACCTCTCGTGTTTGAAAGCAGACCGCTTCTAGTGCAGCAAAGGCGATGTGGTTTTTATTTGTAAACTGAGTAAGGCCACAGATAATACTGTTGAAGAGAAAAAAAATCCACCCAAACAGTTAGGGCATACTTCTTTACCAGACATACACCGTTACGTCAGACCTAGGCCTTCTAATTCGAAGCTCATTCAGCTCCATTGTATGAGGACTTCTTTTTAATATTAAAAATCTTGTTTCTCTTGAATCTAAACTCTCTCATCTCTGTTTTCTTGACAAACATTCTTTCAGTGCCCAATCAATAAGACTGCCAGAAATTAAAATTTTATTGCCAATCTGCATGCAAATGGGTGCATATTCACCCATGCATACACAAACACACACACAAATTCTAGTCTTCCTTTAAGAAATGTATGATAGAAGCTGATTTTTCTTTAAAAAATAATATCACCTTTCACTAAAATCTTAATAAATTCTCTAGTGCTTTCAGTTCTTAAGGAAAAGCCCAGCTGGGTCAGTGCTGTGCTCTAAATGCTTAAAATTGTTTTCAGATCTGTTCTGATCTTCAGTTGCTTCTGCACCTTCGAAGACATTTTTGGATATGGAAATTATGCTACATCTAACCATGAGTAAATTGAGTTCTGTCAATCTACTCTAACCTGCAGAGCAAATAATCATCCTTTCATTCTATTTCAACATCTGAGGAATAGTAGTATACTACACAGTAATGCTGCTATATTTGGTGCTGGATACATGCAAATCCAAAGATATTAAAGGACATTTTTAGTTGTTGCCATTCCGAAAATCATCTTTTAACAGTTAAAATGTTAAGCACTGTGGTCTGAAAAACTGTAAAAACATCTAACTCAAAGATTTTTTTCTTCCTTACATACAAAAATCATCTAAATTCTAAAGGTGCAGCTACCTGAAACTTTGGGAACTAGATATTCTTTATTTTCTCACTTTAGAAAAGTGATTTTATATTTAAACTTCTTATGCTTCTGTGACTCCCATGGCATGTTGTGATTCCAGCAACAGTGGGCAAGCTCACAATATCAGAAAAGACAAATAGAAGGTTATTGTTTGAACTAGTAGTTCTAACTAGTACCAGGTAGTTAAGTGTTACCAACCAGGAAAGGGACTGGAAGGAGGGGAGAAAAGAATGTTCAATAGGCTGGGAAAAAAGCTGGACATAAGGGTAAGGAGACAGAGGAGAAGTGGGGAGGAATTAAGTAGCCTGTATCATTTGAGATAGTAAATGCATCAGCCATGGGAAACAAAAAAAATCTAATCAGCACTAAATTCTTCACTTTCTACTTTTGCTGCCTGATGGCTCACAGGTATGCAGACCTCCTTTTTCTCTTTCGTGAGATGAAAATCCTTTCAGAACCAGAAATGTGTGAAGAAAAAAAGCCAGCCCCATCAGTGGCAAGAATGATAGAACTATCTTGTACTTGTCCTCACAAACAACCCAAATGTTTTCCGTGCCCCCTGTCCCCTTTTGCTGGAGAAGGGGAAGAGAGGAGGGTGAGTAGCTGATCTAGCTAATCTTTTTCTCTTAGTAGCAGTTGCTGTTTTGAACAGATTAAATACAAGAAAGAAACACAATAGTTGCTTTGGGATACCACAGAGAATGATGTATCCAGACACACTGCAGAAACAAAAAGAACAATCTCACATACCTGGGAAGACTAGTGATAGTATTTGTAAAATCATTAAATTTCCCTGCAAATGCAGTGTTTAGTCATTTCCTTACCCCCTTGCACTGGGTTCCCAGTATGGTGCATACAGTCCTGAAAATGCTGGCACAAAGTAGCAGCCATAAGAAGTCCCCACTTCCGCGGCCAGTTTTTCTAATGCACACACACAAACAGTCTTCACTTAGCTTTTCATAACTGTACCAACACTTAAATATGACACTTAAAGGAGCTATTATTTAAATAGGGAAAATATTCAGAATATGTTAGGTAGCTACAAAAATAATCAAACCACATACAACTAGAAAATACAACTAACTCTGGCACTCTGCTCCTCATTAACTAGTTGTACATTTGCAACAATATGAATGACAGATGGGGCCCAGGGAGTTGTGGAAAATGTAAAATGTAAAATGAAAAATCAAAACCGAAACCCAAAATCGTGTACTCAACATTCTGACCTAGATTCTGTGAGGTTTTCAAAGGGTATCCTGTGCGTAAAGAATGCAACCTTCAAAGCAGTTCAAAAGGTCACACTTTACTTGCATTTAAGTCAAGGCAAGCAAGTGAAACTGGATCAAGACCAAAGGGAGTAAAGCTAAATTCCCATTAATTTCAAATGGATTTAGAGTTCTAAACTCTCAGTTTATGTATATAATCACAAGGCCAGCTACAAGGAAATCTGAAGTTTCTTAATACATGAGTAATAACTTTGGATAGCTGAACTCCCCAATATTAAAATGCTTGTAATTTTAAAAATTATATTAAAACATCTAGAACTGCAAAGGAAGTAATGCTAATGTGCAGCTCCTTCCTATAACAAGAAAGTATTTTTTTTACTGCTTTTGTAAATTTCTTCTGTTTGCATTGATCAGAGAAGCATAGCAATAGAGAAAAGAAGTAGGAAAACTTATTAAAAAAGTTCTTTTAAAATGGTACTTTCATACAGGCTCCAATTAAAAAAGGAGTAAAGGGAGAAGGAAGGACATATTCAAGGAAACAGGAGGAGATGATGAAGTCCCACATGACTTTAACAACACTGACAAGATTAAAGTTCTTGAAACGCAAACCTTCCAAAGGTCTAGTCAAACTTGCTAAGCCAAGAGGTACTGTAGCGTTTCAAGAGCTGGCTAATTCACATGATAGTAGTTTATATTCTTCTGTGTGATCTGCAAAGCTTTCTTAGAGAAAAACAGACTGACATTTTAAGCTTTTGCTTAATCTTTGAAGTTTTACGTAAAATTTGAATTCTAAATTTTTCCACCTTTGAACAAAATATCAAATTATTAAAAATATGTAATGAACTGCTTTTTAATCCTAAATCTCATTAAAACAGACACTTTCAAACTGTTACACTTGCATGCTTCTGACATTTTCTCCTTTTTCAAAGTTCGATATATTCCTAGTTCCTATAATGTCACACACCAGTTCAGCTCAAGCAGAAAACATCAGCTACCCAAATGCTGAAAGTTTACTGTATTCTTACCCAAAACAGATTACCATCCTCCACAATTCCTTTAAAAGGCAGCTTTGCAAACTGAGGTCCCTAACTCAATGGATGTGAAGCCTTCTACATAAATTGTTGCATATGTAGGGCCTCAGTTTCTCATGTTTATGACAGGAATGAATATGTAGGTTTAGGATCAAATATGCTCTGGCTTCTGTAATAGAAACTGAAATACTCTTGGCTCTGGAAAATTCAATATTGTATGAAACCAGAAAATACACTGTTAGTATCTTCCTGAATATCTGCTTGCTAGGGAAACTACTAAAAAGTAAAGATTGCAATAGAACAAAGCTGACAAAAGGTTTCAAAGACTGTATTTACATGCTGGATGAAATACATATATCAATAAACAGTGATTTTATGGACACAGAACAAATTGTTCAAACACAGCAAAACATACGCATCTTCCAGCTTTTCCTTGTTTGAGTATTTTGAGCTTTCATTCAACATTAGAGACATCAAGACACTGGAAAAGAAAACTTAAAAAACTGAACAGCTCCAAATTGTGAATACTCACCAACTTCCTCTGAAGTCTTAACGATACCTAGATTGTCCCTCAGCCAACGAACAACAGCACCAGCTATTGCAACAGATCCCTGAAGGAAACAAAATCACTACAACATTAGGAGATAGCAACTGGTAGCTTTGTATTCCTTTTTACAAGACTGGAGAGGACGGGTAGCTGCATCCTCCAACTGCAGGCTTACAGTCACAGCTTAAAGCACTCCCAAGAACGCTCACAACCAAGCCACAGGTTTCTTGGCAGCTGGAGACATGCCATGTATAAATGGCAGCCTGTACCACATAGAAAAGGTGCAAATTGCATGATTTCTTTTATGGGCGAGAGTTACCATGATATTTCCTAAGCAGTCTTGTCTCTCTAACTTAGGTCTTCTCCTGAATATATAAATATGAGGTTCGGTAGTCTCAGCCTTCTTTTTCCGACAAATTAAGGTTTTCATGCTTTCATTTAAAAAAACAAGACTGGTTATGTCTTATCTATAGAGAGTATAAATACAAAAGCCCAGACAGACAGAAAATTTAGGCACTTGCATTTGCCAGCAAAGTTGCTCTGTTGCCTCAGCAAATGGCCCTGAACGGCTCCATCATATCATAGATGAATGGCATGGCTCCCATCTCACTCCAAAAGTCCAAATGGACTTCTGTACAAGACAGTCTCAAGTCTAACTAGACTAAGCTTCAAGTAAAACGGGAGCAGCACTATATTTTCATTCAAAGCCATTGCTAGAAGAAGCAGGGGTGTTTTGTAACCAGCTAGCTATTACAGTTAGAAGATAGGGGTTTGATTAAAAGAAAAGGCTGAATCGACATTTTTTTCCTCTCTGGAAGGTGTCTTAACCAGAAGATTGTAGATGATTCTAGCATGCACACAGGAGAAAGGACACAATATCTTCTGTTGAAGACATTTCTTCAGACAGTATCATTAAGGACTTGGAGATGAGGAAGAAGCAAAGGAAACATGCATGTGTTTCAGCATGCAGAAATAAAAATCACTCTCAAGGCAGTTCCAGTTCTTGGTTTAGGAACATGGGTTAAAAATAAAACAAACCTCTCACACACCCACACATAATGAAAACCCCAAAGTTTGCCCGAACATGGCAAATGCAAGATCAACTTTCCTTAGGGAAGGAAAAGGAAATGAACACAGCCTCCCTCAACCTAGCAATGTACTGTAAGCCACTAACTATTCTCCCCGTGAAGAAAATCCTTTGTGTTGTCTTTGTCTGTTTCACATGAAAAACATAGGCTCTCTGCAAATGATAGCAGCAGAGAATTCAGTATGCGTGTTTTGAGAAGAACTATTAGATCAAGCCCCCTAAGCAACATAGATGGAAAAATAATCATTCTGTTCTTCCCGATGAAAACTTTGGTGCCAAATAGGTGCTCAGCTGATCTGTGCTTCAGAAGCAGAGCTATAAAACAATGAACCCTGAAGTTAAAGTAAAAATCCAATTTCCTACAGAATTTGGATGCCCTCAGAGTTGTATGGAGAACTGAGGAACTAAATTCTGGAATTAGGCACCTAAGTCTTAGTAAATAAAGTAAGTTCGAATTGTTAGAGGATTCTTGTCCCAGAAATTTGATTTAGATTTTTAAAAGATAGAAGAAAAATCCGTTATAATGAAATAAAACCCAAGGACATTAGTTATGACTTTTATTGTAAGAGGATAACTGACACACTACTACTTTTTTCCCTTTTTTAAACCCAATTTTAGTATAATTTTTTATGTTTTATTTATTTATAACTTTTATTAAAGATCTGAAAGACTGTGTAACAGAAAAAATAGCCATCATTTTAGCTATCATGCCCTGCAAATATAAATGATGCAATGTGGAAATATTTTTGTTAGATTATGTGATAGATTGGAGATAGGCATAACCAAAACCACACATAAGCCTTGAGGCACAGAAAGATATTTTGATTTCCTTGTAACTGAAGAGAACATAAGGATACTAGAAAACAGAAGTAAACGAGAACATGCGGATACTAGAAAACAGAAGTAAACGAGAACATGCATCACCACAAAAAGGAAGAAATTAGTGGACTTACCTCTAGTGCATAACAAACAGGTTTGTCTCTGCCCAGTTTGTAAGCTATTGTGGTTAGAAGACCATGCTCAGAGAACACAGACTAAATGGAGAAAGGCAAAAGAAAAGGTAAAGCATGAATGGAGGCAGAAAATATTTAAATAAAAATTTTCCAATGATAATAAACAAGACACAAAACCTTCACTGGGAAAAAAATTAAATCTGGAAAGTTTAAACAAAGTAAATTGTCAGTCACTCTAAATAAACATCTAAGATAAAACCCTCAGATCGCTGGTGATAATTCTCATTTCCACAAGCTGTCTCAGATCTTTCCAGCCTCCTTATAGCAAGGAACTGGGGGTCTTTAGAAGGACATGTGAATGAGAAGGAAGCCAAAGGTTTTTATTATTTATTCAACTACAACTACAAAGAAACAATGGGAGAAAACGAAGGGAAAAAATACGATAGCCAAGACAAGGAGAAAAGCATGTGGTTAAGTAACAAAACACTCAGCACTTCTGGGTGAGGCTAAGAAACATATACAAAGAAAGAGTAAAGAACTTGCTATGAAAAGTTCTTTTTGGAAATTTAAGGAGCTAGGAAATGGAGTCTTACTGAAGCACCTTGAACAAATGATTACTTTCTATTCTTTCAAATTTCAGTATGCGCTTTTCCTTATCTCTAGCAATAATTGTTGATAATAAGTTTAAGAAAGTCTAACATATGGTCGTACCCAAGAACTTAAAAAATAAAGATTGTAAAAAAAAAAAGGGAACAACTAAAAAATGCAACTGACCTTCTGACCTGTATTGCACAGCAAGAAACATCCTGTTCCATACCTAGCATGAAAGCAAAGGAAAGTTAAAACCAGGACGTTTAAAGGATAACTTGGTACTGCAATTCATGAATCCATGACTCCCCTGCAGAGAATCAAGACACCACATTTTGCCCCTTGAAGGTTATTTTACCATTAACTGATGATAAAATCATCCTCAAAAAGTTGATTTAAATGCAGCCTGCAGCTGAAAAATCTAGTCCCACACCTTTCGTTCTGGTTATTTCTTGTATAATACTTGCTCAATGAGCAGATATGGCTGAAAACTAAGTGTGAATTCCTCTTTGGTGGCAGTGTTTACCTACTTCAATTTAAGCTGATTATGAAAGCTACTTTATAAAATAAATATTTCACAATATTAAATTCAAGCTTTTAAAGGGGAAAATTTAAAAAACTTTGTTCCTGTCACAAAGAGGATTTTCATTAAATGTATTGAGTTCAAAAATTTCTACAAATGGGATGTTTGTCATTCGAAGACCACATCACATATATGTGTGCATACACACACATATAAGGACACAGTTTAATAAAAGGAGTACAAAATACACAAATAGGTTAAAAAACCCTCACTCTTACCTTTTAGTTTAGCTGGCAGGTTTTTTTTAAAGTTCTCCTGTGTTATAAAAGTATTTCCTATAATAAGACTTTGTGACAATATTACTTAGAACCATGTTTGTTTTACTAAAATACAAGGCCACTAACCATTAAAAAAGATAAAGTGAAGGTTAATTAGCAACAAGTATAGATTAATGTGTAATTAAATCTGTGAAAGTCCCATACTGTGTATGTACCTACATGCTCAGTTAGGTAGAGAGCTTTTCCTCAAATGAATGTTTGATTACACCAGTTGCCTGATTTAACTGATCAGCTATTTTAACAAGGGACACTTAAGAGGCTGAGAAATAGAAAAAAAACAAATGTAAAATTCTCCACACTCAGCTAGACACAGAAGCAAAACTAAGCACTGCGACTGAAATGAACCTTTCCCATCTAGCTGTGGGTTTTTTTGTCATGCAAGTCTATGCAATCTAACTCACACAGCCTGTATTTGTTTAACTTTAGCTCACAATTTAAATGATGCTGCAACTGTTTTAATCTGTGTTTTGGACAATTTTAATATTAAAAACCTCCTGTCACACAAGAGAGATTTCCTCACAGTGACTTTATTCAAAAATATACCTCAAAAACCACGTAACTTTAATATCTTCACTATTTTATATAAAAGTCAGGACACTGCTTGCTTTGTAGGTCAACACAGTCAAAAGGTAGATCTGTAGTTATGTGGTAACTACAAAAGCATTTGGCAGTTAGCTTGAAAGCGAACATAATACTAAATTCAAAACAGAACAGTGTGTTTATCTTACAACTTTCATAATAACTTACGTATTTTTTGCCTGCCCATCTTGAAAACACATTTGCCCAACAAGAGCAGCAGACTGGTCACCCAAGCACTGAAAAGAGATTTTTTTTTTTTTAGCAAATGTCTGCATATGAATCACATTCATGAAAAAGGAATATGAACAGATATATTTAACTACAACTCTAATCTATTAGGACCATGCAGTTAATTGAAAGTGAGGAAAAATCTACAGAAACAACCCGTGCTTTTTACTACTCTTCCCTTTATAAGAACTGTAAATGAAATGTGTTATGCTACTTCTGGTGAACAATTTAAAGAAATCAAAATTAAAATTTACTATCTTTATGTATCTTGTTTTGGATAAAGCTGAGAATCTGACCAACCATCTGACCATTTCTGCATTACGTATATACTGAACTCCTTCTATATATAAAGCAGAGCTTGCTTCCATTTTGTTATGTGACTCATTTACTTAGAGATCCTAAGTTTCCCACAGCACTACACATATGCATTAAAGCTGTCAGCTGTATTTTCACAGCCAGACCTTAACTTAATGAAGAATCCAGTCAATTAATAATTCAACTTCAAAAGTTTACTTCAGGTTTAACATGAAGTGAAAAACCATCAACTTAGTTTGTAGCAGGATTCACCCATCTTAAAGCTTTTTCCTGTGAAGATATGTTCATGCAGTATCAGGTTCTCATGTCAGAATCTGTGCTGAAGTAGGACTTACCCCAGAAATTGGTACCCCTGTCAAAGCTCCAGATTTCTGATTCACAAAAAGAGAAAGAAAAGCTCCAAATTAGCTTTCCATGACTACAATTTAAGGCAATGAAAAAGAAGCTAAACTTGTAATGCTAAAATGAAAACAAAGAAGGATCACATAAGCAACATGGTTCAGTTCAGGTGTACATTGGACTTCAGCTTAATGCAGCTCATGCCTAAAACACTAAAAAACAGAGAGCAAGAAATTTACAGGTATACTTTATGACACCTCAACAGTTCTTAACACAAATTTTGTTGAAATCATAGTGTACAGAAAATAAGGTTCAGTGTAATCTGTGCAGTGTCAACTGTAAAATGCAAAAGTGCAAAATAGTGAAGTGACTAGAAAAAAATGTGATTGTGATGATACACTAAGCAAAGACACGTGCCTCATTTTAAGATACAGCGTTTTAAGTCTCATACAGAATTTCTTCCAAACACTACTGTGTAGTTTTTCAGTTGCATTCTCTCAATAGATATCAGAAGAAACTTATATCCTGACAATTTTTACTTCTTTCTTTAAATTGTTTCTTTGTGCAATTGTGAAAATGCATTTTCAGTGAAGCCATGCAAGTGCATTTCCAATCTGAATCTTTTTTCTTTAATCCTCATTTTAATTAACTGGTTTTAAGATAACTGAGTTTATAAATGCACTAAAACCCCTTGCATGAATCTGATGTTTTCACTATAATATAATGAATATTTGTAGACAGAATGGCCGGCTTTTCTCATTTATAAAATGAGACAGCCAACATCTATTAGCCAGTAGCTGTATTTTTTACTTCACTATAGAAACAAATATTCAACAGCATACAAATGCATACATCAATATCACATTTTAGAAACAACTTTCGCACGAACTCTAATTGTATTATCTCAAATTTGGAAATACTTGCCAAATTTATTTGGTCTAGAAAGTGTGCTTTTACAAATCCTTAAACCAATGGAAATGCACAGCATCTGAACAGAATGGATAAGATATAGGTGGTCAGCCTAATGGAAGCCTCTACTCACCAGGCTAGGACAGATTTTCTACAGTCAGCAAAAGGAAGAAAAAGAAAAAAAAAAAACGGAAGGGAGGGGGAAGAGAAACAGAAGTTCACATTTAAAGTGACCAGCTACTCTGTTTCAGTTGCCAGGTAGTATCTTTTTCCATTTACCTCACTCATTCAGCTTAACACAACTCACTCTCATCCTTTTTTCACATGAGTAAAACTCAACAATGACTTCTAGAGGAATGTCCATTAACAGATTAGCAAAAATATTTACATTTCAGGCAAGTTACAGTTATATTTTAAGTAAAAATGTCATAATTTGTCTTCATTAAAACATGCCTGTATGTTCTTAGTAAAACAATAGGGCAAACTACCAGGAAAAAGAATGCAAAATCACAACATCCAGTTTATCAGATTCTGAATCTAATAAATTAGTTGCCACTGTATCAGAAGAGTTGGTGCTACATCAAAGTAAACTTGAAACCTCAGCCTCATGATAACAATTAATGATTTACTCCTAAGTAATATTCAGAGCTGCACTAGAAGCAGTGTGCTTAAAAAGACATCACAATATTCCAAAATACTATTTTTACTAAATGCTATGTAAATATACCAACAAGAGAAGTTTATTTTTCAAAAAGAAGGGAATCTAAGGTGTCACTTCAAATTTTTATCCTTATCAAAAACCTCTCCCATCTTGTTTTGTCTATTTGACACTTAAAAGAGAAAACAACAAACATTCAACTTAATATAATTTTATGCAACAGTAGATAATGACATACTAATCATAAATCAAAAAATACTGGTCTAGAAAAAGCCATTAGTTTTCATCAATGGAAATTCTGTCAAAACCATATTGATATAGTTATATTTTTACAAGATTAACTTCACACACACACACAAGAAAACATACCATCAGGCCATAAATCTCAGAGGAGCTTCGTACTTTTGGGAGTATTTCCATAGGAATATCAAAGAACCTGAACACAATACAAAATAATTCATATATATGGTCAGCGCTAAATCAGAAAGCATTTTTGCATTTATTCTCTTAAGTAAGTTTAAGCTGTAAAGAAAACAACCCACTATAACAGGAACTTTGCTTTCTAGAGTTTAATCCATCATTATGTGTTTTTCCACTTGTTACAGTATGTGACACTGAATTATGGAGTAAAACAGCATATATTTTAATATTTTGAAGACATCTCCAACTCTTTCATCTGGGAAGTCACTCACCTTCCAACAATATCTTTATAATATTGTTGTTCATAAATTTAAATTTAAATATAAAATAGAGACACTAGCATTGCAACAGCCTTACAAATTTGATTAAAGAATAAAGAAACTATTAAATGTCATTGTTTCCATGAACCACCTACAGAAAAAATCTGCTACTTTTAATTAATCCAGACAGTTGTAATTTGGACATCTGGAGAATGATGAGTCTTAATTACCAGTGTTAACAGTAAATACAAAAGTAATTGCTGATCTTATTCTATGTAAGAAATCTTACTATAAAATAAGTTTCTTCACACATCACTTACAGAATCTATTTAACTAACAGTATTACTGAAAAACCGAGCTTACTGGCAGAGCTCAGGATCCCATTCCAAGGAATGAATGTTGAACAACATTGTTCTGCTGGCATTGGTTACATCTGTACAGTGAACACCTCCATTCTTTCCACCTGTCAAACTCTGAAAAAAAAATATATCAACAGTATTTGCCAAGAAAAATGTAGGTTTACTTCAACTAATTACAAAAAAATTTTCTAAATTCACAAAGCTTTCAGCTTGGGACTGGGGACTCTGATATTTCTGCAACAACTAAAGTGGCAGACCTGTTATAGTGAAACAAAGGCATGAGAGAGTTAGTAAGCGTACAACAGTACCTCCTGGATTCTTATATTGCAAAGGTGGCTAATACACTTTTCTAAAGTTCAAGATTTTTCCAAAAGCATGAGCAAAATTTTACAGCAGCCTATGAATGGTAATAGTGATACAAGGACAGTAAAAGTTTATCTTGTAAGGAACTTTAATGGAATTTCTTAGTGGCTTGTATTGACATCACTGTGTGACCAGTGGGCATTATGTGTCACAGTACTTTGCACAGGAATTTGCATGGTATGGAAATTAATTTTAAAAAGAGTGATAATAAACTCACAAATACATACCCATATAAGCCATGAATCAATAGTCCCAAACATAGCTCTTCCATCATCAACTGCTTGCCTAATCTCTTCCACGTTATCCAAAAGCCATCGAAGTTTCACTGCACTAAAATAAGTACTAAGTGGAAGACCAGTCCTAAACTGTCAAAATAAAAGAAAAACAAGTAATTTAAACACCATGCAAGTATCTTTTCCATGAATACTGTAATTTTATATAAAAATGGTGATAGTAAGTGAAAAAACAAAGACACAAAACTCAGAGAAATTACACAAACTTGTTATTTAAAAAGTACTAAGCATACAATACATAAGTCTGAAAATATGAAAAACAAATGAGTGCATTAATGGACAAAGATCAAAGCTGATCTAAATGCAGTTCAAAGACCATTTACGTGGAAATAGTTGTTTGCAGAAGTCCTGTCTTATCTAGGATATCTCCATATGACCAGACAGCATGTAATGACAACAAAATGAGCAGTACAACACAGTAAAGATGGGATTTGTATTCTACTAGAACTTAAAAATCAAGTAAGTGTATATGGGTTTTGACATCCATTTCCTACCTATAGGAAAGCATGTAATATATAGAATATGTATAAAATCAGTCAAGGACAATATAAATCAAAGAATTATGACACCTTTTTGCAAGTATTTATTTTCCAAATTGTTATATATATCCTCATATTAAAAAAAAAAGAATTTGCTCTTTATAAATTATCTTCCCAGTTCTTAATAAATTGATTGCAATTAATTTTAATAGTATGGAATAAGTTGAAAAAGGATAATGTATTTCACATCAATACGTTATTTTCCAAACAGTTTATTTCTATTTGCTCTTAATTTTTGTGTGTGTGGTGTACTTATCATTGGATAGGTAGCATGTGATTAAGTTTCACTAACGATTACTCATTTAACTTCTCTAGTGAGATATGTAAGGAGTGTTAACCACATATTTTGAGGAAAATAAACATTCTCCAGTCTCAGATGGGTGTATAGTATTATGCACTTTTTTTATTATTTGACAAGCTAAGAAGGGACTGGAAGCTACAGCTGACTGACTTTGGTTTGGGGAATTTTAAGCACACATCTCCAAAAACATTATACACTGTAGCAATAAGAGTCCATCTACTATTTAAGTGTTCTGTAATATCTCTTACCTTAAAAAAGGCTTTGTTTTTTCCTGGAATTCTTTTAAGAAGCCGCTCAACTGTTGACTGTGTTCTCAGGTCAAGCCACACTAAAAAACATGAATAAAATTAACTGATCAACTCATTTAATACACAAAAAGTGACATGTACAAGTTTCTTCTACAAAACTAGAGCTCTTGCCAGTAAATTCTTGTCTTTATTTTTAGATTTTCATGTAGTTGAAAGAATATTGTATTGCCATTGTATTTTAAATGCACTGTTGCAAAAATTAAAAACGTTTAGATAAACTCATTTGATTTAGAAGAACAAATGGTCTGAGAAATCAAACAGGATTTTCCACACAATAGGATATATACTTTATCAGAACATAAGCAAATGACTAATACTACTTTTTTTACAGCAGATGACTGTCATTAAACTAAGAGGTTGAAACAAATACCAGGTTGATTATTTACTATTCCTGTGAAAACTTTGAACTACCAGAGTTATCAAGGTACAGCTGGGCTTAAGATAAAGCTGTTAACATGTATTTGAATATAGAAGAGTCCTGTTTTTTCAGTGATACTATGCAAAACTAAATCTGGCACTTGACATGGCCTAAAAGAACAAATCTAGACAAGTACCATTTCTCAGCTGACATAATCTGAAAAGCTGAGGTAAGTTAAAAATAAAACTTCAAATCAATAAAGTATTCATTAAACCTAGTAACGGGTTTTTCCTTTAAAGTAAAATCAAAAGCATCCTGAAAATTTATTAAGCTCCTTCATTTAAAAGGAGGTGATTTGGCATAAGTCAAGGGCTTCATTCCATGTCAAGGATGTACAAAACCCCTCAGGAACACTGCTTTTTATTAAAAGCCCATAAAGCGATTTATTAACTATTAAGTAATAATTTTAACAGAATAGGGTTTTTTTTAATTGCACTGGTGTATACAAACACGCGACTTATGACACAGATATCAAATAATCAAAGAAATTAGTAGGCTAGGCCACAATGAGATCTGCATGGGAAACTAGGAAAGCATTTCTCTACAACACACTCATTTTACAATACTGCATATTCAGGAAGTATAGTCATTACCAATAGCATTATAAAGAGGTTCTCCAGTTGTCTTGTCCCAAACCACTGTTGTTTCTCTCTGATTGCTGACTCCAATGGCTTCAGGACAAAATAGAAAGAAGTAATCTTTTCAGAAGGTTTCTTTTCCCCTTTTGGGGGGTGAGGGAGGAAAGGGAGAGGTGGAGAGGAGGGAGGAACAAGTAAGGAGAAGAGGAAAGTCATGGGAAATAAAAAGCTTCCAACTTTTTAATGTTATAATCTAGAAATACTATTTCTAAAAACTCATCATTCGACTTCTGCTGCTTAACCTATGTGCTCTAAATCTCCCTCTTTTGTTTTTTGCCACAGAGACAGCAACAACACTGACAGGGGAACTACCTTCTCCCAATAAGTCCTAATTTAAATTTCAGAATGTCTTTATTCATCACTTGCCTCTGTGATTTTGCAAGATTAGGTTAAGTCTACTTTGAAGATTCTGCATTGCTAATACACACAAAGTACTTATTTTCTCATTATTCCTCCCAAACAAACTGGTCTCAGTTCCAATTTAACATTTTCTTTGAGCACAGCACATGCTGCCACCTTTCTATTTATTGACTTAAAAACTAGAGAATCTGACTTGCTCAACCATGAGTATGTTAAAGCCCTCAGTTACCCTTAAGTACTAGGAATACCTTTTATGTTAGTGATGTCTATGTTCAGTTGTTGCAGTTTCTCACAGGCCCTTTCGACACATTCATGGACAGACTTTAGTATTTCCTTTGGATCTTGTTCCACCCATCTTTAACAAACAGTAAACACCAGTTAATAAAAAGACAAAAAAATTACATTTAGAGAAAAAAAGAAATTCTAGTCTGAAAAATCAGCTGAGCATTTTGACACAATCATAACTACAAAGTATGTTTTACATATCTAGAAAAAGTGTAATGAATTTCAAACATCTTTTAAACAGTAAGCTGTATTTTCACAACAAAACCATCTGCAGAAAACAAAGTATTTTGTTTTGTTTATTCCATACAGAGGGCTTTGGCAGCAAATGGTAGGTTAGTTAGGAACAAACAAACAAACAAAAACACCTCAGAGAACAAACTAAGCAATTTCTATGGACTAAGTTGAAGAACATGATTAAATTGTAAAAATGACCAGCTTCATCACTTTAAATAGGACTTTCAGTCTTGTTTAAATTTGAGCTTTAAGCCTTAAAGCTTAAACTTTAAATATGTTAATGAGCGATCAGAGTAAAACACTAAGTATTTTTAGCACATGTAACTCAGAGCAGATACCAGACATCCAATGCAAGTTTTTTTATGCCATTTTTCCTACCACACAGTCTTTTATAGCAGATACTATGTTCTTAATAATTATTAATCAACTTCAGTTTTGATCATTCATAGATAAAATACATAAGCTCTACCAAAATGTACACAAATAAAAAAACACAGAAAATTCATACCCTTCTTTAGGGAATTTCTGCTGTATCTCAACTTGATGGTGACTCAAGAGCTCTGCTGTTTTTGCATTAAAAACCTGCAAATAAATTACACATTGGATTTTTCTATGAACACAGAAGATTAAACAACAATAAATTAACATTTGTTCTTCTGAACAAATACAGTGCCATAACAATTGATAGTAATTTTCTATCACCAACCCAAATATCCATATAGCCTGGGTTCAGATACATGAATTTTTGTAATTAAAGTAAGCAAATAAAATTTTGGTAAGCTTTGCTGTCAATTATAACTGCTTTTTTTTCTTGGTAGATTGGGAAAGAACCACATTTTTTCTTGTGGAGAGTGTAGAAATTAAACTAATGATGCATTTTAGAACATACTCTCAGTAAAATACCCACTGCTAGTCATAATAACATTTCTTTAGTTCCTGCTCTGATAGTCTAATGCCAGAACTACACCTTGTCTTGGGTTAGCTCACTTCTAGAAAGAGCAATTTTAAGAGACAATCACATGTAGTTTAGAAATCACAGAAAGGACCAAACTGTGAAGAAAGGAAAAGCACCTAGGCAGAACCCAGTTTGTTTCAAAACAAACTACAAATACAGAGCTCATGAACAACCTGACAAGAAAAGAACATCACTGCAGCAACACAATGCATTAAAAGATAGAAGAACATGCAGAAAAGTGACTTAGATTTGGATATACTACAATAAAAACCAGCAGAGTAGAGAAACCTGAGGACTATACTAATGGCTGTTCTTAAGGAATCACAACTTGGAGGCCCTGCCTTGCAGTAGCAGCTCAGCTAGAATACATAACAATCTTCATTAACCATCAGTGGCCTGTTTCCAAAAGTAATCCACTGTGGCCAAGCTAAGATGACACCCAGTAAAACATCCAACTTAATTGTACAATGAGTAAGCCAGCATAACTGAGTGGGAAATGATGACGTTCCTGTGAAAATGGCTCGCTCTCACTAGCACCGTGCAGAATCTTCTGCTTGAAGAACATTCAGGCACCTAGAAAGTAAAGTCTAACAGCACTCAGGTGAACTGCAGAACATGCCAGTAGGATGCACCTTCCTATCTTTTTATGGCAAGCAGAGGAGGGTCAGATTTAGAAACCACTCTCATGCTAAGGGTCCAAAATTCCGTTATACTCATCCACTCTCTAGGATACAATGGAATCTTTTCTAGACTTCCTTGATAATGCTCTCTTCTCATTCCACAAATTCTTTTAAAGCTTTTAATCCATAAACTCTTGATTTCATTTAGACAGTACAGTTTTCTCTGAAACTATTAGAACAATTCTGACAAAAAGCAGCTGAAGTTCTGATTCTCCAGTTTCTTCAAAACCTTGAAGTCTATCTTTAGAGTGAAACTTCGAAGTTTAAAAACATTCTAGTTATATATTAGAATCATAGAATAATTCAGGCTGAAAAGAACCTTGAGAGATCTCTAGTACAACCTCCTGCTCAAAGCAGGGTTGGCTATGAGATTAGACTAGGTTGCTCAATGACTATTTCTAGGCAGGTCTTTCTGAAAACCTCCAAGGATGGAAACAGCACAACCCCTCTGGAAAATACTGAAAGCTCATTTTTCCCCTCCACTGCCCAGAAAAGAAGTCCCAAAAAGGTACATGTTTGTCTTTTTCTGTTATCAGTTGGAAAAATTACATAGAAAAAGCACCACTGTATTCTTTTTACCATATTTACTTACTTGTGTTTCATTGACAAGCTCAGTCTTGCCATGAAGCTATCCTAATGAAAGGGTAAACTGTCAGTACTACATGCTTGGAATGAACTAGTATAATGGGACATGGGTTTTAAAACGCTATGCAAGATAGTTAATAGGAGAGATTAAGGTTTGCATGTATGCAAGCAAGATTTTTTTTACTTGAAATTGCCTTTCTGCCAAAAGCACAGTAACATTTACTAGGTTTTTATAATAAAGATAGAAAGATAGAAGACTTTTTATTCAACCTGTATATATCTGACCTACTAACAATGTTAAATATCATTTGGTAATCATTCACCATTGCATAAGGATTCCTACCCTTAGCAGGAAGTAAATACAGATTCAATTAGACAAGGTCATTTATTGAACCTGGTGTGTGTGACCTGCAGATAATAAAGGGTGAAACTCTAGCACAGCAAGGCTTTTTACCTCCTTCTAAGCAAGCTGTTCTGCTGGCAATAAATTCTCAACAGAAGCAATGCAATGCTACATATGCATAGATTTTTCATGCCCATAGAGAAGAACTAGGTAAACATGCTCTCCTAATCTATCACAAAACCACAAGCTTCTGACACTTTGAACAAAAGCAGCAGACACTCCTCAGGGCAAGGGATTAAAAAGTTTCACTGAGAACAATACCATGTTATACAGTGATAAATAGAAATTCTGATACAGGAAAGGATGCCAAACATAAATGAACCATTACATTTAAACCTAGAAGATGAGAAACAAAGTAGGGCATAAATAGAAAAAGTAAGACCTCCCCTCCTTTCCTGCCCACCCCTCAAAAAAACCCTGTTGCCAAAGAAACCCCAAAACAGTTTTAACAGTGATTAGAAAGAGAAATAGGAGACAGTAAGTATG